TCAAATGGCAGATTTTTAAAAGCAAGCAAGAAAAGCCGAACAAGTACACTAAGAATATTGCCTTTGTGTCAGAAATGCACCTTCATGCTTTAAAATGATAAAAAATTGCAATCGATCCTTACAACTGTTGTGTTCATCTTTATTGATCAGGCAGCAGAAAGATAAATTGCTGCCCAAATAAGATTATAGTAAATGTTAGCATCAGAGGGGACTGTTGGTTGATAGAGGACTATTCATCATCTCAAATGGTGACCTGTCCGTGTGCGCATTGCCGTCCGTCTGCTTGTCTAATCACATCCCTATTGATTTTATCTGTATCTGAGGAACCTGGATGTGACTGTCATTGGATGAGCAAGATTGCTAAATGCAAAAGGGGTCATTGGTGTGAAGAGGATTTCATTTTCATTTTCTTACTGGCCAGCAATGATTTATTAAAAAATAAACTACACCTAAAGTCACCAGGCTTGGAACTTCAGTCTGCAGACAAATGAATTATTAAGCTTGGGTTGTGAAAAAAAATACAGAGTTGAGAAACCACTGTGTTTTTCCTAATCTTCGTGTGCCCTTTTGACTGTGGTATCTGTTACCCAATTTATTATAATTTGTGTAAAAGATACGAGGCCCCAAAACACAATTTTACCCTTCTTTTCAGCTTAATGTTTTTTCCAATGATTTTTATAGATCCCTTACAAATTCTGGGAAAGCTTAAGACACAGACCTAGTTGATTAAATATCTGTCCTTTTACCTTTCCAGATGGAGCCTTCTCCTCTCAATCATTGGTGAAATATGCTTCATCACCTCTTAGACAAGAACAAGGGAACTTTGTGTAATGTTGCCTGTTTTCTAGTCCACTTTGGAACGCGCAGACAGAGATAGTTTAGCTGTGACCTTTTTCCCATCATGTAGGGATGATTTTGATCTGCTTTAAAGGCTTTGTGGCATTACAAGGCAAAAACCTCTACCTGCTGACCCAAAAGACAATTCTCAGCTAAAGAAATATTGCTGCCCTAGACAGGGATTACAGCATGACAAAACCGGGGGGACGCTTCCAAAATGCACTCTGTACAATAACTCATCTTCCCTATTGTTGCAGAAATAACTGGCAGTGCTTATTAACATGTCATCAGTGTTGTTGTTTCTTCTTTCCTTTATAGAACCATAGAATTGGAAGGAGCTCCAAAGGCAATTGAATCCACCTCCCAGCTCAGTGCAGAAACTCTTGCTAGACTGAACATCCCCAACAGTTAGCTAGCTGACCAGCCTCTGTTTGAACATATCCAGAGAAAGAGATCCAACCACTTCTCTAGGTTATTGGTTCCATTGCTGAACTGCTGTGACCATCAACAAGTTCCTTCTAATGTTCAATCAAAATCTACCCTTCTGTAACTTAAAACCATTAGACCTGGGCCTATCCTCTTGGGCAGCAAAGAACATATATATATATATATCTCCTTTTCTCTGTGATGATCCTTTAGATATTTAAAGAGTGCATTTATGTCACCCCTCAGTCTTTTCTTCCCCAAGCTGAACATGCCCAGTTCCGTCAATCTTTCCTCATATATTTTGTGATCCGTACCTTTTATCATCTTTGTCACCCTTCTCTGAACCTGCTCCAATTTGTCTTTATCCTTTTAAAATGACTCACCTTTATAACTCACCTTTCTCCTATATTGGGAATCAAGGCAGTTTACAAAAATTAAAACAAATACTGTTAATAGCACTTCAAAAGATTTAATCTTTCCCATTGCTGACAGTCATAGTTGGGCATTGGTGATCCTACTCATTTGATTCTCCCTGTTGCCTTCTGCCTTCTTGGACATATGATACTGTGATTCTGCACTTGGCTGGAGGGGTGAGGAGCAGCTGGAAGAAAAGGTTTGTCTTTCACTGTCTAGCCAATGGTGGGCAAACTGAGTTGGCTACTTTTCCCCACCCAGCCTCCCGCCCACGCAGCCATATAATGGTCTTGTGGGCAGTGGGGGGTGGG